ACACCTGCCCCAACTAGAATGCGCTGTAATAGACAAGGTACAATGGCGCATAACTATATATGATACCAGCTGACAAATCAGAAATGAACGGCTAGCGGCAAGAAACGCAATATGCAATAGGGGCTTAGCTTATAGCCTCGGGTAATGTGCGTTATTTTGCCTTTTGTAATGTACGTTACGCTTTCGTGTCTATAGATTTGAGCCATGTTATAATGACAAGGATGTATTTTCCACTCAACACAATAGGGAAAATGTTTTCATGAAGTGCGCCACCATTAGGTAGAAATGTGATACTTGACTAATTTGACCTGCAGGTGGCAGTGTTTACACTTGTCCTGTATGTTTCACAATATCTATCTATTTCAGTGTACTAGTTTTCAAATACCAATGCCATGATGTATACAGGCTATATATATATATATATATGTATCAGTGTTAAAAAATAGCTGTCTGGATAAGAATAGAATTCAGTCAGTATCTCGTAACTTGAAACCAAATAATATTACCGCAGATACACTCCTAAAATATCTGACATACTTGGCACTCTAGTCAGTTCGTGATCCAATGATTAACCTGACGCTTAGCGCTTATTATCTCAACTATTGATATCAGCCTATAGAGGTAATTAACGATGATTGAAAGCAATTACACCTTGAGGTTATCTGAGGTCATTTCCATTCTATCAAACTTCTTTCTTTACATAGAAATGACAATCAGATATTGGTTTAGGTAAATTTCAAAAGTCACTAATGGGTTCAATTATAAGTATATTTGTGTTTTCACCCCCCCCCCCCCCTCAGTTCTCCTTCTCCTTTTGTCAGTGCTGTTGACTCAAAGCATTAGACAGTCAGACAGTTGTGTAATGGAGGTCACATGTTGATTCATGATTTTATTGTTATTTATTTATTGACTTAAGAGGCACATTGCCTTCAGTTTCTTCGGGAAGGGGGGGGGGGTCATGCCTTCAAAAAATTCAAAAACTGTTTTAAATGTATTTGAGTCGCTATGCCATGGTGGGAATTGTTAAAGGGAGGATGTTTTTTTGGAAATAAATTAAAAATGTGTGGTAAATTACCAGTAGGTTAGTAATTCACATTTACTGCTCGTATAGCATATAATTTTATTTTTTTTTCAAAAGTAGTTTGTTTTTTCTAAATGTTAGTATTTTCTGTCGTACAGAACTAGCCTAGTGCTAGAGTAAACCATTCTGTCTACTGCCCTCAATATATGAACATTCAAAAGACAGTTTTTATAATAAACTGTTCTAGATTTGTACAAAAATGCATATACCATATACATAGGCAGCATGTAAATGTTTTCCTGATTATATTCGTTCAAAATAATTTTCTCTCCAATGTTTGTGTTAATTGTCGGCCAATATGTAATTGAACAATCAGCATACAGGGAATATTGAATAAAATCCATGAGAAAGTAATAATTTCATCATGAAAGATAAATTAGACAATAATCTCAATTTTAGACTTTATGATTCTAAGGTGTGATTAATTTGATTTTGTAATTAGTTAATAATTTCAACTAAAATTGAGTTTCTTTTGTGTTGAAACATAATCTTTCTTGTCAATAAACAAGCCTATTATAAAAATGCCATTGTCTGTTTCTCTTAGTAATAATGGAATATTAAGAAACTACTTTACCTGGTAGTATGAATTATAAGATGCAATCATAACCGGTGGGAAAAACAAATAAATTTTGATATTATAATTGTTAATACCATTTTATCAAAATTAAGAGAAATTTTGCCACTCAATTTTTAATTATTAAAACTCATTATTAGAAATTGAAATTCCTGGACGGAAAATTATTATTCCCATTTGACTAGTAATATATACTTCCGTAATTATAGCACATTGGATTTTTTTTTTTAGCATTTTGATTGACACTCGATAAATTCTTTTCACAGATGCCCTTCACACTTAGCAGTGCAATTTAATTACAGCCTAATTCTGTACATGCCCGTTTAGGTGATTGTCACATTGGCTGCTGCGTTAGTTATTACTGTGCACACAGGCACAAAAGACTGTGCAGGAAATGGGCTAGTCAACTTTAAATGGTCTATTGTTAGTGTGGTCGCCTGTGAAATCATCAGGTGGTCATGGTCTCTTTTTTTATGTAGCTTTTACCGCAGCTACTTCAGAAAGTTTTCATTCTAGTTCAGGTTGTATCCTTAATAGTAATAGATTAATTAAAAAAAAATGTTAATGCCCCTGTAGTGTAGGGATATTTAAATGTTTTTGTTTATAATCCTGTACAAAGTGTAGGCTATCCAAATGATGTTTCAATAATTATGTCAGTTGCAATTCCGTGAACAGATTCCTAATATGTTTGTTAGGTCGAGCGTAGTGAGTCGCTTTATTTACATATTAACGGTCGACTTGATTCTTCCCAGGCACTTCCTCAAATGAGATTTTTTTTTATCTTAATTTCATTATATTTTACACTTTTATC